GTTTGGCTTCTTTACCTTGACCTGTCATCTCCACTTTGGGATGTTCTCTTTTCTTTTCTTTCTTCTGATTTTCAGGTGGTATTCCTTGGCGCAGCGTTTCTCCAAGTTCTTGATTCAGAGCTCTGTAAAAGCCAAGATCTTGTTCTTCACTGTCACTTTCATCGTCGATAAACGCTCGGTCTTCTTCATTTTCCGACTCTATTTCTTCATCATCCTCGTCATCACTATTCATAACATCAATCCCTCGATCCTCCTGGTCGTATTCACTGTCTTCTTCCTCGTTACTTTCTTGTTGGTCTCGCTCTTCTACTGGTGTTACGGCACTCACCGTTTCCTCGATCTCTCTTAACACATCGGCAAACTGTTCTTTCACCAACCTATAACTTTCTTGGCTGACTTCTACTAGATAGTACAGCATGTTTCTTACCAACAACTTGGGATCTCCTTCACTCACAAAGCATTTACGTCTGTCAAAACCAGGAACATTGGAACAAACGTTCACACTCAGTGGCACATGCTTGGCTTCCCAGTTGAGTTTTTCTGTATCTTCTGGTAGTCTGGTCTTTTAAAACATGCACTCAAAGTCAAACGTGGCGCGGTAAGGGAAAAAGCGTAGATGAGCAGGAATCGTGATGCCCTAATCTTCCAAAAGATCGAAGATAGCTTTTGGAGTCTTGTAGGTACCTCCAGGAAACTGGTAGCGCACTTTAGCTTCACAGGTCAGTTCATGGCGGTTCATCATGCCAGCGTGCTTCCAATACTTCCCACAACGCGAGCACTTGTAACTCTTGGAGTACTGGGTCAGACTCTTGATATAGCTGAAATCAGCATGGTACGGGTTCAGGTACATTGTGCTGGGGTAATGATAATGAGACCGGCGGATTAAACGTGCAGCTATTTCAGGCTGGTCTTCGTCAGGAGTTTCTGGTTCTTCATCCGCTACTTCGCCATCAGGACGAGTGCGTTCCAGAGAATACACAGCGATGTTTACTTCAAACATGTTTTCCAACACTGGTAGATCTTCGAGCTCCACACCCATAAATTCACTATCTTTGGTTTGGGAGTATCTAAAAGAAATAACACGAAAATTAACTCTACACGTTTATGGATTTCATAACAAGCACGGGTGTTTCAATTATTGGTTTAAAAAAAACGTTTTGTTTTGTTAAAGAAAATGACTTAGCTATTACAGCTATTACAATGCTGTTTATGTGCAACCAACTGAAGCATGGTTTTTACTCTAAATTTGCATTTCACTTAATCATAAAACAAAAGGAACTAGTGGCGGAAACAATAGTTTAGTCATTTTGAGCTAATAATTCATTCGAAATTAAGAACCT